ATCTATCTATCTATCTATCTATCTATCTATCTATCTATCTATCTATCTATCTATCTATCTATCCACCTATTTATATATCTATCTATCTATCTACCTATCTAACTACCTACCTACCTATCGATCTATCTACCTACCTACCTATCTATCTATTTATTTATTTATCTATCTTTCTATCTATCTATCTAAGTCTTCCTACCAATATATGACCAAGTTCCGAAAACAAGGTCAAACCACTGTTATACAACGAAAGTTGATTGCGACCACACAAAAGGCCACACCATCTTGGTCTTCATATCTTCTAATTTGACAATCATGAAAGTATGATTGGCAAACATGGCACCGATTACAGCCGTGCAAAGAAAACAACTGGTATTTCTCCCCGATTTTGAAATCTAATGAAGAAGTGTCATTCGGACACAGTTAATGAAATACTTAATTACTTTCTATCCAGAAATGAGAGGATAATTACGAGACTGAGAGGCGTAAGCTGTTTAAGAAGTGGGTTAACTTCGTTGTCGCAACTTGGTCTTGTTGTCAGGGCGTTTATGTAGAACGCACCTAGTCCGAAGTTGTCATGATTCCCACCATCTGACAGTGGAATTGATACATTCTCAAACGAGGTCAACCCATTTCTATACATCGAAGGGAAGACTGCGATCATATCAGAGACCACAACATCTTGGCATTCATTTTGTATGGAACTGCTTGAAGCAGAGATTCGTGTGTTGATCTCGCCAGAAACGATGGCCAGTCCTCGATGTACTGCAGCAGTTTGGCAGTCCATCACATGATGGACACCCTCAGAGCTGGAATTGCGTCTTCTAAAAGTACTGCCATTAAAAAGTAAAATGGCATTCCACATTATTTCACTAAAATTAGGCTTTCAATTCTACACGACATAATTGGCATTACAGGACACTTGGAGGCATTTAAAGCTTTCGTAAAATGGGTTGACCTCGTAGTCGCAACTTGGTCTTGTTGTCATGGCGACTATGTAGAATGCACCTAGTCCGAAGTCGTCTGCCATAGTAGTTGTCATGATTCCCACCAGCTAACAGTGGACTTGATACATTCCTAAACGTTTCGCCGGCATCGTAGTCGGCATCATCAGTGAGTTCTGCCATTCTCCGCACCAAGATACGAACTCGTCACAGAGACAATGAATGTATCAAGTCCAGTGTCAGATGCTGGGAATCATGACAACTACTATGCCAGATGACTTCGGACTAGGTGCGTTCGATATAGTCGCCCTGACAACAAGACCAAGTTACGACAATGAGGTCAACCCACTTTTATATATCGAAAGGAGACTGCGACCATGACAGAGGCTACAACATTTTGGTCTTCATATATTCAAGTAAGCTGTTTACGTTCGTAGATATCAAGTCCAGATTATGGAAGGATCTAGGAAGGATTTTAACTTCGGATGCTTTTCAAAAACTCCAGAGCATGATGCAACAGAAGTCACACAGAGTCCGGGATCTGATAAACAATCGGAATGACATTCACTTGCTTAGCTATGGGATAAAAAGATAACGTAAGACCAAGCCAAGCTGGGCAAATTTTGATGGTTCTATATTAAGGGCATCAACTACTACAAACGACGATAGTAATAAGATTTTCAACATATAATTAGTCCCTTTTGATTATGGAACAATGAAAATCTTAAAGATTGGGTAAATGAGAGATGAAAATGGAAATAATCCAAAGGATCCAGACACATCAAAAACCGGTGCACAGGAGCGGATCGACTGTTATGCGGAAAAAATTAAAGAGGGATGATTAAATTGTTATTGAAGCGGATAAGGGGGGAGAGACGGTTGTAATGGACAGGAAACATTACACGGAGAAAATGGAAAGTATCCTAGGCGACCGGAATACTTATCAAATTCTAAGGAAGGATCCAACTACGAAGATCAACGGGACACTAAAGAATATGCTAAAATAAAAATAAAAATAATAAAAAAATAAAATAAAAATAATGGTGAAATTAATTGATGGATGATAAAATCCTTAATAAAAAATGACGCAACACCACCGACAGGTTACGGACTATCAAAGATACACAAGGAAGGAAATTAGCTACGATTAAGAGTCAACAACTAGCATGGAGCAAGACACAAACTTGTGAAATTCATTTGCTTGAAGCTCAAGAAATGAAATGACACACTCTCGAATACCGTCAAGAATTCATATTAGCTTTCTCAAAGTATCCAAAACATTGGTTCAGTGGGGTCGGAACTGTTGGTTAGTTTATATTTATAATCCATGTACATAAACATCTCATGTGAGAAGGCAATAGGCACTTTGCTGGAGATATTGGAGCGAGAAGAGGCTATCTTGGAGGCAGAACGGATACGGAACTTGACAGTGATGACCACGTATTTTACATTTAACGACAGTATCTACGAGCAAATATTTGGACTACGAATGGGATCTCCATTCTCACCTCTTTTTTAAAATATGTACATGGACAAGATGGAAATAGAATTATAAAAGTCACCACGGCAACCAGGAGTGCTTATGCGATATTTGGATGACTACTTTGTACTTTGCTCACACGCTAATGAAAATGTGAATGGAATTCAAAATTTCATTACCCAACTTGATGAAAGAACTAAA